GTTGGTGGCTTGACGAGCCCTGCGTCTTGAGGACGGACAGCGTGTGGGCCGTTATATGCCACGGGGTGTGCGCCGATGAGGGCGTGGATGCACCAGTTAGGTCTAGTGATGTCATTTCTTGATCTATGAGTGTCTTCGGACGTGTTTGCCTGTGAGTATTAGCTTAGGACTTTTGTCTGGAATAGTTATACATGTGTGAGATGTATATCGTGGGTCCCTAGGACCCGTTCTCACTGAGTATTGTTGGAATACGCATCCCTCTTTCCTCTGCAGGTGTGCGCGTAGACATTCAGATGTAGTCTTGTGGCTTGGTGATGGTTTTGGGAAGATGCAGGTTTTGTTTTATTATTCGTTATTTACTGTTAAAGACGTTATTTAAATTCAAATTTACTGATTAAGTTAAAATGGTCTTTGTAAGATGTTTTGAATAGGATCCTTGGTAATAAACATGGATTCAACTAGCAAGTGGTTTCTTGTGGTGAAAGTTAATGCACTTTAACATGCCATCTTGGTTTTGAAAGAGGCAGGTGTTACAATTGGTATCAGAGCCTAGGATTGCCAAACCGGTTCTGACCCGGGAGGCGGATTGAAAAAGGAATTATTTTGCAAAATAAGTTTTCAAGTTAGTGATTTTTCTTAAAAAAATTTTAAAAGTATATTCAAAATATTTTATATTTCGGATTTATAAAAAGATTTAATTACGGATTAAAAAAAAAATTAATTAAAAAAATTATTTTTGGAGAAAAGGTGTTTTAAAAGAAAAAATAGAAAATATCACCTAGCTTGATTTAATCTCTGTGTTCTTCGTGTGTTAGGTGTTTCAGCTTTGTGAGGAGCTTTGAGAGTTTGCTTCTTCTGTCTTCAGGATGCCTCGGGGAGAGCAAGTGTTGCCCGAGCCCCGAGAGTTGTGCAACCCGCAGCTAGGTCAGAAAGTGCTGCTTCGACAGAAAGTGTCCAGGGGAACAACACCGTGAATACACCAGGGGGTGTGGACCCAGCAGGGGCAGTCCAAGGAGCTAACCAAGCTGCCATGCATGCTGCCATGATGGAGGAGTTGCAGAGGTACTGTGACCGTTTTGGGGATCAGATGCGGAATGACCCGGGAAGGGGGAATGTGCATCAGCAGGCTGCGCCGTTGAATGGCCAGAACGGGGGAGCACAGTATCAGCCGCCACCTCCAACACTAGTTGGGCATGTGCCAGCTCAAAGACCTTTGTAGTGGGAAACGTTAACCTTGATGAGGGTTATGCAGATGAATCACTTTGATGGGAAGGCGAGTGCCTTGACTGCTGATAATTGTAGGAAGAAGTTGAAGAAGAACTTTGATTTAATCAGGTGTCCACAAGAGTACCGCAAGGACTTGGCCATGCAGTATATGGTAGATGATGCCATGATTTGGTGGGAAGGTGTGGTAGAGTCGACAGAAGGGCGTTACGAGTTGACTTGGGCTGATTTCAAGGAGGAGTTCACTCGGGAGTACTTTCCGCAAGAGGCTTTGGATAGGATGGAGAGTGATTTTGACGAGCTTCGTCAGGATAACCGAACTGTCCGAGAGTATAAGAAGGAATTCAACCGTCTGAGGAGTTTTACAACCAGACGCTTGGGTGATGCAGAGCTGATTTGTAAGTTTATGAAGGGACTGAGAGTTGATCTCAAGAACCGTTGTTCTATCAGGAAATATGCCAGCATGGTGGACCTGGTGGAAACCGCTGCAGAGCAGGAAATTGGGTTGCAAGAAGAACTTAAATTGTCCAAGCATGCTCAAGCCAAGAGTGGGAAAGGAGCTGAGAGTCATAAGAGGAATTGAGAAACCGCTAACTCCCAGCCAGCACCAGGAATGACTCCTAGGGGTGTTGTTTGCTACAGGTGCCATCAGCCGGGGCATGTGAAGAGGGATTGTACAGCAGGTCTTCCGCTGAGAGAGGCCTAACCATTGAGGAGCACGTGCCATCGTTGTGGACAGATCGGGCACTTTGCGAGGAAGTGTATGGTTCCGCTTCAAGGGCAGCAGCTAGGAGGGCAGAATCAGGGACAACTTCAGTTGCCAGCGCCACCTGCAGGACAGCCGGGAAGACCTCGAGTCTATGTTGCGAGAGAACACGGTGGTGTGGAACTAAACGCGGGTATGTCATTCTTTATAGACTTTTGTGTTGTCATTGAGAGTCTTGTGTGAAATTTGAATAGCATGCTTAGTGTAGTACCAACAGTGTGGGATCGGTTTTGGTCTGGGAATCGCCACCCATAAATTATTTGACACAGGAGCTATGCTTAGCTTTGTGTGTTCAGCATTAGCAAAGTGCTGGACTTTCCGAGGCGTTGTTTATCTTGAAGACGAAAGAGATCGAGACAGTCAAAGCTGAGCTTGTGAAGCCCACTGAAGTTATAAAGAAGTGCCCATGGTGCTGAAGGGCGTGAAATGCGAAAGTCTTGTGAAAATGGAGCTGGACCATTACGAAGTCATTCTGGTGATGGATTGGGTGACCGAGCGTCAATCATCATTAAAGTTCTATGGGAGGATTTAGAGTTTGCAATGAGTGATGCTGTGTATTTTAGGATGAGAGCCATCCGAGGAACCGTGCACTGGGAAAATTGAGGCCAAGGTTCATGGGGCTGTATAAGATCATAGGTTGGACTTACCACACAAGTTTTTAAACTTTCATGATGGATTTCATAGGTAAGTTTTGAGGGTTGTGGTACGGGAACTGGAGCTGATCTCAGTTGTGCCGCTAGTGGAAGTGGGCTGAAACTTGACTATTACGAGTAGGTCGGTAGAAATCTCAAATCGTCAAGAGTCAGAAGTTCAAGAGAGGAAGACCAAGTTCGTTTGTGTTTGCTATGCCAGGAATGGAATTCAGGAAGAATTTTTGGGAGCCTAAGGCTGTTGTGCGGGCTTGTTACCCGGAGCTCTTTGGGTCGTTGGTGTTGTAAGGGAAGTCGACTTGAATTCGGGGGTGAATTCCTGGTAACTGGGGGAGAGTTGTGACATCCTCGCCCAGCCCAAAATAAAGTTTGTGGACAAAAGCCCAAAGCCCAAGTCCAATCCAAAAATTAACCTAGGTATCCTCCCTCTCCTAGTATAAATAGAACTGCTTCCCTTCAGAAGTTCCAGCCAGAAAATTCTTCAACGAAGCTCTGCCCTGTTCCCGCTGGAATCTCTCACCGGAGCCGCCGTCGCCGTCGCCGGAGTTACCGCCGGAGCCGCCGTAAAAGTTGGCGGAAAATTGTCAGTCACCAGAAACGTTCTCCTTCGCGCCCTCTTCTTGAATCTGTGATCGTTTCTTCCATTAGTGAGCAGATCTGAGCCTTTTTAGTTTTCAGATCTAGATCTACTTTTTCAGATCTATATCTAGTTTTTCGGATCTACTTTTCCAGATCTGGATCTGTTATTTTTCTAATAATCTTTTCCATTTGCTGTGGGGTCGGGCCCATGCCGTTGTAATGCCCAGATTCGTTCGACGAGGACCCGCAGTAACCAGGTCTCCTTCCATTCCCGTTTCCACTTCCGACCTGAGACTAAGGTGAGGATTGGAGTGATCTATCTCTCTCAGATTCATAGTTATTTCATACTGAGTAGTCTTTTGTTAATCTGCGCATACCTGCACTATATCAATATGAATACACGTATTTGATTGTTGATTGAACCTGACTAGTAGCGCTTAATATCATTATAATAATTGTTATTGTCTTGCAATTGCTGATTGATGAACTTAGTATCATAGGTTGTTAAACAGAATATTGTTGATTGATGTATAAATAGTGTTTGCGGGTGTTTGCATTACATGGGGAATATCACTTGCGGATTGGGATTAGATGTAGGAACCTTTGCTGATATGTATGTTTTGGATATGGAGGTGTGTGGGACTCCATACTCCATCGTTGCCGGCTTGACGAGCCCTGCGTCTTGAGGACGGATAGCATGTGGGCTGCTATATGCCACGGGGTGTGTGCCGGTGAGGGCGTAGATGCACCAGTTAGGTCTAGTGATGTCATTTCTTGATCTATGAGTGTCTTCAGACGTGTTTCCCTGTGTGTATTAGCTTATGACTTTTGTCTGGAATGGTTATGCATGAGCGTGATGTATATCGTGGGTCCCTAAGACCCGCCCTCACAATGTATTGTTGGAATACTCATCCTCTTTCCTCTGCAGGTGAACGTGTAGACATTCATGAGTAGTCTTGTGGCTTGGTGATTGTTTTGGGAAGATGTGGATTTGGTTTGATTATTCATTATTTATTTTTAAAAACATTATTTAAATTTAAATTTATTGATTAAGTTAAAATAGTTTTTGTAAGATGTTTTGAATACGATCTTTGGAAATAAAAATGACATTGAACTAGCAAGTGGCTCCTTGTGGTGAAATTTAATGCACTTTAATATGCTGTCTTGGCTTTGAAAGAGGCGGGTGTTACATTGCGGGTTGAGTGTTGGATAAGGAATATTGAAAGAGTTATTACTCGGCTCTGGTTGTAACGGAAGGTTCCAAAACACTGTCTTTCTTGTAATGCAAGTCATCATATGTATCCAGCGAGAAGTTCAGAGAGCTCTCAACTTAATTTTGGAGAAGAAGAAGATACCGTAAAAGCAATAATCATTTTTTTGCTTTCAAAAACACTTGTTTGTACGGTTTGTGCTGGAACAAACAAGTGCAAGTTCTGAGGTTCAAATATGTAAGAACGTTTTTGTATATCTGCTGGTTTTCTCTATCCTTTCGGATGAGTATTTGAGTGTTATGATTGAGTTTGACACTTATAGTGTAGGAGGAGGTAGAGATTAGGAGAATCACAGTTGTGAGTCAGGAACAGGCAAATGGCAGACGGTAGTGTTTCTGTTATGGGGAGTTGCTCCTAGAAGAACCGTTGTTCTTGTTCTTGTTCGGTATAGGTGACAAGGTGAAGCAGCTGCAAGACGAACTGAAGCGTTTATGATGCAGAGGATGTCCTCGAAGCATTTAAATTTCCAAAAGGCAGAATCAAAGAAAGGAAAAGGGATCAAAAGGGTGTTTAGGAGGCTTGCTTGCATCCTGAGTGAGGCGGTTTCACTTCATAGTGTTGGCTCAGAGAATCTAGAAGAGTGGATTGTAGAAGACGTACGGTGCCATGAAGCATCTTGTTTCCTGAAGCATCTGTTTCTTGAGACTGAAGAATGTACAAGAAGTGGATACTGGAAACATGACAAAAGCATTCAAAGACAAGCTGGTCTCTGGTGTTGAATATTTCTACAAGATTCAACATGTGCCCTTTAAGGATTTTGTGTGTTATAATCTTGGTTAAGTTTGCCCCTTTTATGTTAAAAAATAAATAAATAAAAAAACATAAAGTTTGATGTCGCTCCATAAAACGTTGACTATATTTTAGGCTAAGATCATATTATATTCTGAACCAAATTCTTCAAAAACAATCAAAAGTAGGTAAAATTCATATCAAAGATAGTATTATTATTCCAGTTGCATCTAATTTCCTTTCACGCCAATATTGGTGCTTTCATGATTACTCATGCATGGTGTGATGAATTAAGGTTTCAGAGGTACGTAATCTTGAAATTCAAAATATTCCAACCAAATTAGAACAAAAAACGAAAAAAACTAGATATTATTCCAATGAAATAACTTTAAAAAAAACACTTAAAAAGTAGAAAAAGAATAAGAAATTTAAAACCTAATGAAATAGTAAAAAAAACCGGGAAGCAGGACGTAAGAAGGGAACATGCATGCGCGGCTACACGGGAATCATAAGAGGAATTGTCTGATAACAGAAATTGAGAATAAAGAACTTCTTATCTTCAACATCCCAATAAAGCTTCAGTTGTTGGCCTTCTTTTAGATCTAGCGACCACTTCATGGTACTCCAACCTTCCCCGAAAACGTATCTAGGGTTATTGTCGATGATCAAACACTTGAGGGTAACTGTGTATTCATCGGCTTCTATAAAGTCGACGACATTCACTTTTACACCTTCTTGCAGCTTGCTGACCATAGCTTCATCCATCCTCGTTATCACGGATTCAACTTGTTGTTTCGGCAATACAATATTGTGTGTAAGGTCATTCTTTGTTAGTGTTTTTGTTATGATCATAGCACTATCTAATAATTGGTCGGCTGTTATCATCTTTGCTGAACTTTTTTTTTTTTGTTTCAAGTAGAAGAAGAAGAAGAAGAAGAAGAAAGGTGTAGGTACTTCTCTTTGTTCTTGGATGTAAACATATATATACGTACGTATATGAGGCTTAATCTAACAAGAGATTAAGGAAATGTACAATGGAAGAGGAACTCCGAGGAAATCGGAAATCTTCAGTTAACCAAATGTAAATTTTTCTATTTTTTATTGAAATACAAGAGAGAGAAAATCAGATATCTTTCGCTAACAATATGGGAAATTGTTTATATTTTTATAATTTTTTCTATATTTTTAGTATTGTTTCTATTTACATGGAAAATACAAGAGAAAAAAAAAATCGGAAATCTTCCATCAATAAAACGGAAATTGTCTATATTACTTCTAATTTTTCTACATTTCTAATATTTAAAAAAAAAAATTAAATGAAAAATACAAAGGAAAAATAAATCAGAAATCTTAATGGAAATTGTCTATATGTCTTGTAATTTTTCTATATGTATTTCTTCATTTGCATGTTAAATACAAGAAAAGAAAATAAATCAAAAATCTTTCAGTGATAACGGAAATTGTTTATATCTCTAATACTGTATATATCGGAGAAATGTGGCATAATATAATAAACCCCACGAGGCGGGTCGAATTCTAAACGGTATACATTGTTTGTGATTAGAAAGTTTGAAACTCTTTCGTTTCTTCTGACACTCTCACTTCTTCTGTTGAACGTCGAAATGTATCCGACGGATACTATTCGTGCCTTGACCATTACCGTTCCCTCGAATTTATGCTTCCACTAGCTGATGTAACACAGTTTGTTATTAATCTCTCTGAGCTTCAGAATTTTAACTTTAGAGAATCTCCCCGAAAAGAAGAGTTCCTCCTTCCATCTCGGTGCTTTACGTTTGTAGCGATGCTTGATTACTTCATGACCTATTTCATGTTCTCGAGAAAACCGTTTATATCGTTTACTGGCAGTAAACTTTGTTGGGGCGATGATCAACAGGTTTGGGCAAAGGGGCCACTTGTCTATGTTAGGATCCAAGATTGGCTAGGCTTTGAACGTCTTAAAATTTGACTAAGTGCTGGCCAATTTGATCGTCATGCCCTCCGGTCACGCGTACCACAATGCTTTCGTCCGTGGTACGTGATGCGGTCGACCGTGGTACGAGGATGGTATGTAATGCAATCGTCTCGTCTCGTCATGTCTTCGTCCCATACCGTCACGTCTTCGTACCGTACCGTCATGTCTTCATTTTTGAGAACTAGTTTGAGAAGAGTGTTAACATCTTGTGTTTGCTTAAGGTCGAGGAGATTTTCCACGGTCTTATTAAACTCTTCTCATTGTCCTCGTTTCTGACCGGGTCTCTGATGGCTCATACATGATGGATACTTTAGCTTGACCGGGTTGAGATCCTCATCAAAATTGAAAATTATCAAAATTAGCATGACCCTTGAAGTAACTAGATAGCTCAATTGACCCTTGAGAGTTTGGGTGTTATGATCTTGGTTAAGTTTGCTCCTTTAAGGTTAAATAAAACATATATAATGTTTTCTCCTTGCTTCATGAGAGCGTCCTAGTACCCCTTTGGTACAGTCCAACTATGATATTCAACAACATTATAATAGGTTTATGATCAAGACAGATGCAGAAGCAAACAAACAAAATTCTAGCAATAAGCACAGCCATATTTTACTTTCATTGGATGTTTACATCACTTTTAAAATTATATATTCACACCACTGAACGTAATCCGATGCAAAACTATAATTAAGGTGGGAGGAATCAATATTGTGTGGTGTCCTTATTTGCCTTTCTCTTTTTTTTTTACGTAAAACCCTTAACAAAGTATAATTAGCATGAACATCACCTCTTAACAATATAACAGCCTCCTCGTGAATAATAAACTTTGTATCTTGATCATGATTATGCTATGCTATTGGATAATAAGCTCGGGGGAAAGGAAATTCGATGTGCACAACGGGCTGTTGAAGTCTGCGTGTAACATCCTGGCCTAGCCCAGAATAAAGTTTGTGGACAAAAGCTCCAGGTCCAATCCGAAAATTAACTTATGTATCCTCCCTCTTCTAGTATAAATAGAGCTGCTCTCTTTCAGAAATTCCAGCCAGAAAATTCATCAACGAAGCTCTGCCTTATTTCCGTCGGAATCTTTCACCGGAGCCGCCGCCGGAAAAGTCAACGGAGCCGCTGAAAAATTGTCAGTGGCCGGAAACGGTCTCCCTCGCGTCCTTTTCTTGAATATGTGATCGTTTCTTCAATTAGTCGCCTTGGTGAGCAGATCTAAACTTTTTTAGTTTTCAGATCTAGATCTACTTTTTCAGATCTATATCTAGTTTCCTGGATCTACTTTTCCGAGATCTAGATCTGTTATTTTTCTAATATTCTTTTCCATTTGCTGTGGAGTCGGACCCATGTCGTCGTAATGCCCAAATTCGTTTGGCGAGGACTCGCAGTAACCAGATCTCCTTCCGTTCCCATTTTCCACTTCTGATCTGAGACTAAGGTGAGGACTGACGTGATATATCTCTCTCTGATTCATAGTTATTTCATACTGAGTAGTCTTTTGTTAATCCGCGCATACCTGCGCTGCATCTTTATGAATACACGTATTTGATTGTTGATTGAACCTGACTAGTAGCGCTTAATATCATTATAATACTTGTTATTGTCTTGCGGTTGCTGATTGATGAACTTAGTATCATAGGTTGTTAAACAGAATATTGTTCATTGATGTATGAATAGTGTTTGCAGGTGCTTGCATTACATGGGGAATATCACTTGCGGGTTGGGATTAGATGTAGAAACCTTTGCTGATATGTATGTTTTGGATTTGGAGGCGTGTGGGACTCCATAGTCCATCGTTGGTGGCTTGATGAGCCCTGCGTCTTGAGGACGGACAGTGTGTGGGCTGCTATATGCCACGGGGTGTGCACCAATGAGGGCGTGGATGCACCAGTTAGGTCTAGTGATGTCATTTCTTGATCTATGAGTGTCTTCGGACGTGTTTGTCTGTGTGTATTAGCTTAGGACTTTTGTCTGGAATGGTTATACATGTGTGAGATGTATATCGTGGGTCCCTAGGACCCGCTCTCACTGAGTATTGTTGGAATACGCATCCCTCTTTCCTCTGCAGGTGAGCGCGTAGACATTCAGATGTTTTTGGGAAGATGCAGGTTTTGTTTTATTATTCGTTATTTACTGTTAAAGATGTTATTTAAATTCGAATTTACTGATTAAGTTAAAATGGTATTTGTAAGATGTTTTGAATATGATTCTTGGGAATAAACATGGATTGAACTAGCAAGTGGTTTCTTGTGGTAAAAGTTAATGTACTTTAACATGCCGTCTTGGTTTTAAAAGAGGCATGTGTTACAATTGGTATGAGAGCCTAGGATTGCCAAACCGGTTCTGACCCGGGAGGCGGATTGAAAAAGGAATTATTTTGCAAAATAAGTTTTCAAGTTAGTGATTTTTCTTAAAAAAATTTTAAAAGTATGTTCAAAATATTTTATATTTCGGATTTATAAAAAGATTTTTAATTGCGGATTAAAAAAAAATTTAATTAAAAAAATTATTTTTGGGGAAAAGGTGTTTTAAAAGGAAAAACAGAAATCATCACCTAGCTTGATTTAATCCCCGTGTTCTTCGTGTGTTAGGTATTTCAGCTTTGTGAGGAGTTTTGAGAGTTTGCTTCTTCTGTCTTCAGGATGCTGCAGGGAGAGCAAGTGTTGCCCGAGCCCCGAGAGTTGTGCAACCCGCAGCTAGGTCAGAAAGTGCTGCTTCGACAAAAAGTGTCCAGGGGAACAACACCGTGAATGCACCAGGGGGTGTGGACCCAGTAGGAGCATTCCAAGGAGCTAACCAAGCTGCCATGCATGCTGCCATGATGGAGGAGTTGCAGAGGTACTGTGACCGTTTTGGGGATCAGATGCGGAATGACCCGGGAAGGGGGAATGTGCATCAGCAGGCTGCGCCGTTGAATGGCCAGAACGGGGGAGCACATTATCAGCCGCCACCTCCAACACTAGTTGGACATGTGCAAGCTCAAAGACCTTTGTAGTGGGAAACGTTAACCTTGATGAGGGTTATGCAGATGAATTACTTTGATGGGAAGGCGAGTGCCTTGGCTGCTGATAATTGGAGGAAGAAGTTGGAGAAGAACTTTGATTCAATCAGGTGTCCACAAGAGTACCGCAAGGACTTGGCCATGCAGTATCTGGTAGATGATGCCATGATTTGGTGGGAAGGTGTGGTAGAGTCGACAGAAGGGCATTACGAGTTGACTTGGGCTGATTTCAAGGAGGAGTTCACTCGGGAGTACTTTCCGCAAGAGGCTTTGGATAGGATGGAGAGTGATTTTGACGAGCTTCGTCAGGATAACCGAACTGTCCGGGAGTATAAGGAGGAATTCAACCGTCTGAGGAGTTTTACAACCAGACGCTTGGGTGATGCAGAGCTGATTTGTAAGTTTATGAAGGGACAGAGAGTTGATCTCAAGAACCGTTGTTCTATCAGGAAATATGCCAGCATGGTGGACCTGGTGGAAACCGCTGCAGAGCAGGAAATTGAGTTGCATGAAGAACTTAAATTGTCCAAGCATGCTCAAGCCAAGAGTGGGAAAGGAGCTGAGAGTCATAAGAGGAATTGAGAAACCGCTAACTCCCAGCCAGCACCAGGAATGACTCCTAGGGGTGTTGTTTGCTACAGGTACCATCAGCCGGGGCATGTGAAGCCCACTGAAGTTATGAAGAAGTGCCCATGGTGCTGAAGGGCGTGAAGTTATGCGAAAGTCTTGTGAAAATGGAGCTGGACCATTACGAAGTCATTCTAGTGATGGATTGGGTGACCGAGCGTCAATCATCATGAAAGTTCTATGGGAGGATTTAGAGTTTGCAATGGGTGATGCTGTGTATTTTAGGATGAGAGCCATCCGAGGAACCGTACACTGGGAAAGTTGAGGCCAAGGTTCATGGGGATGTATAAGATCATAGGTTGGACTTACCACACAAGTTTTTAAACTTTCATGATAGATTTCATAGGTAAGTTTTAAGGGTTGTGGTACGGGAACTGGAGCTGATCTCAGTTGTGCCGCTAGTGGATGTGGGCTGAAACTTGACTATTATGAGTAGGTCGGTCGAAATCTCAAATCGTCAAGAGTCAGAAGTTCAAGAAAAGAAGACCAAGTTCGTTTGTGTTTGCTATGCCAGGGATGGAATTCAGGAAGAATTTTTGGGAGCTAAAGGCTGTTGTGCGGGCTTGTTACCTGGAGCTTTTTGGGTCGTTGGTGTTGTACGGGAAGTCGACTTGAATTCAGGGGCGAATTCCCGGCAAGTGGGGGAGAATTGTGACATCCTCGCCCAGCCCAGAATAAAGTTTGTGGCCAAAAGCCCAAAGCCCAAGCCCAATCCGAAAATTAACCTAGGTATCCTCCCTCTCCTAGTATAAATAGAACTGCTTCCCTTCAGAAGTTCCAGCTAGAAAATTCTTCAACGAAGCTCTGCCCTGTTCCCGCTGGAATCTCTCACCGGAGCCACCGTCGCCGTCGCCGGAGTTACCGCCGGAGCCGCCGTCCGCCGCCGGAAAAATCGCTGGAAAATTGTCAGTCACCAGAAACATTCTCTTTCGCGCCCTCTTCTTGAATCTGTGATCGTTTCTTCCATTAGACGCCTTGGTGAGCAGATCTGAACCTTTTTAGTTTTCAGATCTAGATATACTTTTTCAGATCTATATCTAGTTTTTCGGATCTACTTTTCCAGATCTGGATCTGTTATTTTTCTAATAATCTTTTCCATTTGCTGTGGGGTCGGACCCATGCCGTCGTAATGCCCAGATTCGTTCGACGAGGACCCGCAATAACCAGGTCTCCTTCCATTCCCGTTTTCACTTCCGATCTCAGACTAAGGTGAGGATTGGCGTGATCTATCTCTCTCAGATTCATAGTTATTTCATACTGAGTAGTCTTTTGTTAATCTGTGCATACATGCACTGTATCAATATGAATACACGTAATTGATTGTTGATTGAACCTGACTAGTAGCGCTTAATATCATTATAATAATTGTTATTGTCTTGCATTTGCTGATTGATGAACTTAGTATCATAGGTTATTAAACGGAATATTGTTGATTGATGTATGAATAGTGTTTGCGGGTGTTTGCATTACATGGGCAATATCACTTGCAGATTGGGATTAGATGTAGGAACCTTTGCTGATATGTATGTTTTGGATATGGAGGCGTGTGGGACTCCATAGTCCATCGTTGGTGGCTTGATGAGCCCTGCGTATTGAGGACGGATAGCGTGTGGGCCGCTATATGCCACGGGGTGTGCGCCGGTGAGGGCGTAGATGCACCAGTTAGGTCTAGTGATGTCATTTCTTGATCTATGAGTGTCTTCGGACGTGTTTCCCTGTGTGTATTAGCTTAGGACTTTCGTCTGGAATGGTTATGCATGTGCGAGATGTATATCGTGGGTCCCTAGGACCCGCCTTCACTGGGTATTGTTGGAATACTCATCCTCTTTCCTCTGCAGGTGAGCGTGTAGACATTCAAGAATAGTCTTGTGATTTAGTGATGGTTTTGGGAAGATGCGGATTTGGTTTTATTATTCGTTATTTATTTTGAAAGACGTTATTTAAATTCAAATTTATTGGTTAAGTTAAAATAGTTTTTGTAAGATGTTTTGAATACGATCTTTGGGAATAAAAGTGGCATTGAACTAGCAAGTGGCTTCTTGTGGTGAAAGTTAATGCACTTTAACAGACCGTCTTGGTTTTGAAAGAGGCAGGTGTTACACTGCGGGTTGAGTGTTGGATAAGTTATATTGAAAGAGTTATTACTCGGCTCTGGTTGTAACGGAAGGTTCCAAAACACTGTCTTTCTTGTAATGCAAGTCATCATATGTATCCAGCGAGAAGCTCAGAGAGCTCTCAACCTAATTTTGGAGAAGAAGAAGATAACCGTAAAAGCAATAATCATTTTTTTGCTATCAAAAACACTTATTTGTACGGTTTGTGCTGGAACAAACAAGTGCAAGTTCTTAGGTTCAAATATGTAAGAACGTTTTTGTATATCTGCTGGTTTTCTCTAGTATTTGAGTGTTATGATTGAGTTGACTCTTATAGTGTAGGAGGAGGTAGAGATTAGGAGAATCACAGTTGTGAGTCAGGAACAGGCAAATGGCAGACGGTAGTGTTTCTGCTATGGGGAGTTGCTCCTAGAAGAACCGTTGTTCTTGTTCGGTATAGGTGACCACGTGAAGCAGCTGCAAGACGAACTTAAGCGTTTATGATGCAGAGGATGTCCTCGAAGCATTTAAATTTCCAAAAGGCAGAATCAAAGAAAGGAAAAGGGATCAAAAGGGTGTTTAGGAGGCTTGCTTGCATCCTGAGTGAGGCGGTTTCACTTCATAGTGTTGGCTCAGAGAATCTAGAAGAGTGGATTGTAGAAGACGTACGGTGCCATGAAGCATCTTGTTTCCTGAAGCATCTGTTTCTTGAGACTGAAGTATGTATAAGAAGTGGATATTGGAAACATGACAAAAGCATTCAAAGACAAGCTGGTCTCTGGTGTTGAATATTTCTACAAGATTCAACATGTGCCCTTTAAGGATTTTGTGTGTTATAATCTTGGTTAAGTTTGCCCCTTTTATGTTAAAAATTAAATAAAATAAAAAACATAAAGTTTGATGTCGCTCCATAAAACGTTGACTATATTTTAGGCTAAGATCATATTATATTCTGAACCAAATTCTTCAAAAACAATCAAAAGTAGGTAAAATTCATATCAAAGATAGTATTATTATTCCAGTTGCATCTAATTTCCTTTCACGCCAATATTGGTGCTTTCATGATTACTCATGCATGGTGTGATGAATTAAGGTTTCAGAGGTACGTAATCTTGAAATTCAAAATATTCCAACCAAATTAGAACAAAAAACGAATTATTCCAATGAAATAACTTTAAAAAAAACACTTAAAAAGTAGAAAAAGAATAAGAAATTTAAAACCTAATGAAATAGTAAAAAAAACCGGGAAGCAGGACGTAAGAAGGGAACATGCATGCGCGGCTACACGGGAATCATAAGAGGAATTGTCTGATAACAGAAATTGAGAATAAAGAACTTCTTATCTTCAACATCCCAATAAAGCTTCAGTTGTTGGCCTTCTTTTAGATCTAGCGACCACTTCATGGTACTCCAACCTTCCCCGAAAACGTATCTAGGGTTATTGTCGATGATCAAACACTTGAGGGTAACTGTGTATTCATCGGCTTCTATAAAGTCGACGACATTCACTTTTACACCTTCTTGCAGCTTGCTGACCATAGCTTCATCCATCCTCGTTATCACGGATTCAACTTGTTGTTTCGGCAATACAATATTGTGTGTAAGGTCATTCTTTGTTAGTGTTTTTGTTATGATCATAGCACTATCTAATAATTGGTCGGCTGTTATCATCTTTGCTGAACTTTTTTTTTTTTTCAAGTAGAAGAAGAAGAAGAAGAAGAGGAAAGGTTCAGGTACTTCTCCTTGTTCTTGGATGTAAACATATATATACGTACGTATATGAGGCTTAATCTAACAAGAGATTAAGGAAATGTACAATGGAAGAGGAACTTCGAGGAAATCGGAAATCTTCAGTTAACGAAATGTAAATTTTTCTATCTATACTATTATTTGAGAAGTAGATTTTTAACGTGGCGCTCTCACATTTGCTCTCACCACACTTTAGCCATCAATTTTTTCAATTATACTTTTAATGAAAACCGTGATTTAATTCTCGGTTTAATATTATTGGATTTGATTTTGATTTTGGGCCGTAGCCTATAACATTATTCTCGGTAAATCCTAAATTATTTCGTGTAAACCCTAAATATATTTTTCTATAAATCATTTCTAGCTATTTTTTATTTTTCTTGCAGCTGTAGGTTTATTTTCTTTCATATAGATTTTCATATAGGTTTAATTTAGCTCATGCATATTATAGTTTGTTTATTTTGTTATATTTGGTGTATGAAGCTGATTATGTGGATTTTTGTTTTATAATATATGGAGAAAGGAGAATCAACAAATGCTAGCCCTAAAAGATCAGACAAAAGGTATATTTTTTTTTTATTATTATGTTTCTCCTTTACATCGAGCTTCAGACCACATGATATTCACGTTACTGCTACGAATCGAAACCTTCTTCTTCTCCTTTTGATCCAAACAAAGATGAAGACAACATATTTTTATTGACGAGGCTTATTTTTGTTTTATTTGGTATAAGTCTGATCTTTTTCTTTTGTTTTGTTTAAAGGTATATGGAGAAAGAAAATCAAATGCACACTCTGTCTCCGTCACTCTCTCCAATCGGAAGCAAAGACTGATTCGACGAATTCTCAAGGCCTTCATTGATCAGTGTACCCTTCCCTTCTCTCTACACCTACGCTCTCTTTCATCTGCGAGTACCTCAAAAGGTAGTACTTTTCATCTTCTCTAACTTTGCTTGCTTTGATCTAATCATCTTTTTTATGCTTTAGTTTGTATCTGCGGTGGTTGGGGCTCAGAAAATATTGATCTTTGAGTCTATGTTTGTGGATAGTGTTTTATTTTCTCAATCTCACTGAAATTTCGTGAAACTGTTTTAATTTTGCGAGGGATGAAGATGGAAACGGACATAACACTGGAACAGTCTCCGGCGACGGAGATAAATGCCGGCAGGATAATCAGCCGAGATTCCGTGAAACCGGACTTCCAAGGAAAGGTTTTGGAGTTCCAGTTCAAGTCCCTGTTGAACGATCCGATCCTGGTCCTATTCTTTAGCCTTGCGCAGCTTCAGACGGTGGAGTTCAGGTTAGTCTTTCTTTTTGATTGGTTTTAACTGTGTGGAAAGTCTAGAGGAAAGTCATGAGAGTATCTGATTCTAATTATGAAAATATGGCTTAGGCTTTTATGGAGAAGTTTAATGTGTTATCTTATACTAACTTCAGTTACATGCTTCTTTGCTAGCATGATTGTTAATTCAATTTGTTTGTTTCCGATCACACTCAGTCGGAGGCTAAAATTGGTTTGTGACTTTGTGGAAAGATCCCACATTTCGTATTCTTAGCTTAACTTTGATAAACATTGAGTCCTGTTCTACACTCGTCCCTGCTTTGTATATGGTTCTTTGGTTTGGCTCGAAATTGGCTTTACACCTGTAGTTCCTATATTGTATTTGGCTATTCCCTGAATAATCTATTAAATTAAGTGTCTTTATGTTAACTGTATATAGATTCGTCTTTGTATGTGAAACTATATGTTAACTTTATATAGGTTCATCTTTGTATGTGAAGCTATTTGTTAACTCTATATAGATTCATCTTGTATGTGAAACTAATGAATCGTAGTCATCATCACTCCCGAGGCTAAGATAGAGTTTAAAGAATCTTAATTGGTATAGACAATAATTTGGTGCTTTAAGAACCTATGTGATGATGCAGTGATATGTATTTTTTTTTCATTGAGTTCCTCCTGACGGCAATAAGCTGACATCTTAGCAGAATCATTGACTTAAGTTACTTTAACCGAGAATTAATCAAACCTTTTGTTTGGATCAGGGCCTACGTTGGTACTCAATGTGGTTAAAGATGGATGAAGAGAGATGTTGCAGATGAGTTCTTGGAAGATCATCATAACTGTAAGACTTTGCCAAAAAGATGCAAAACAAAAGCTGCAAAAGTGAGAGGTTTAGAGATATCTTCTGATGGGAAACTTCAGCCATTAAAGCACTGAGAAATGAACACCAAGGAGAAAGATTTGCTGAATAGTGTGTGATTGAATCAAAGAAAGGGTAGAATGTGTTTCATTAGCCATTTAATCTCGATACGAGTCGCTGGTTGTTGATACTTAGAACATTTTTAAAAAAATATTATTTAACTGTGAATTGTGTTTAGGGAATCTCTCTGTTGGGGTTGTCTGAAAACGTATGTGCAATTGTTGGGGATCCTGTAGTACTACAAGTTCTCTATGTGTATACATTACCTCCGACCTCCTTGCTAGCAAAATATTATGCGTTTCATATTCCCATCATGATACACCAAGGATTAAGGAATGATGGTTAATATGAGAACTGTATTGTGTATTTGATATATTGATTTGATTTGCATAAAACCCAAGCAAGTATAAATTATATATGACCCAAAATTATAAAGAATAAAATATTATTTTTTATAGATTTGTTTTTAAAAATCGTGTATTCAACTTTACATTTGGAATTACTTGGGTTTTAATAAGATAATTTTGTTGATTTTGAGTAAATTTAGAAAAGTTGCAATAGTTTTTTTTTATCTCATTTAAGATCATAAAATTTGAATCTTTGCATTTTTAACTAACATTTTGGTATATTGCTAAAAAAAATGTTTGGTATATATATGCTTTTTTGTGTGCAAATGGTATACATATGCTTCTGTTCTATATATTTTCTATTAGAGAATACAAATCCAATATTTTTGCTTGATGCTTAAAGAACATACTTTTATGTCACAAATCTGTCCCAAAATTTCGCTAGTGAAAGAAAACAATCTTTGAAAACTTATACAATACTGAAAGAAATATATTTCGCAAATAATAGTTATGAGTTATATGATTACGGGTTTAATTGTTTATTTTGAATTTGTTAATATATTTTATATATATATATATATAATGGACTTTCAATTTATTAATTAATTTTTTGAATACTAAATATTTTAAAAGTATTATTTTTATATTTTTTTCGATTGAAGTGTTTCTAAAGTTATTTATTAAATTCGAAAATATTGAATATTTTCTAGTATTATTAAGTTGATAAAAAATATTTAAAAAAATTGGAAGGGGATTTATAAAAGATAAAAAGAGTACCACCGGGATCAGACTTGCTTTGGTTTGAGTTGTTTGTTGTTTTGTTCAGTCCATCTTAAAGAGTCTGACTAGTTGTTGTTTTTGTATGAAGTTGCCGCCAAAGAGAGCATGTGGAAGAGCTGCTGTTCGCCCGAGGGCAAGAGTGGAAACCCCAACTACATTGTCCGAAAATGTGCACAATGAGAACTCAGAGAAAGTGAATGCTGCTGAAGCAGCAGCAGCTCAAGAAAATGCGAGAGCCGCTGAGCATGCAGCTGTGTTGGAAGAGCTTCAGAGGTATCGAGCTCAATTTGAAAATTTGCCCGAGAATCCAGTGGGAAGAGGAACTGCACCACCGCATATTGAGCAGAATGTTGCTGCTCATAAATCAACACCCGACTCCTCCACCTGTTGTGCAAGCCCAAGCACGAGGATTGACGTATTAGGAGACCATGGACCATTTGAAAAGCATGGGCACAGATCTCTTTGAGGGTAAGCCCAACCCCACAGCTGCGAATAACTGGAAGAAAAGATTGGATCGGAACTTTGATGCTTTCAGGTGTCCATTGGAGTACCGTAAGAAATTGGCAGTTCAGTATCTGAAAGATGAGGCACTAGTATAGTGGGATGGTGTGGTGAAAGCAACGCGGGGGCGTTAAGCTGATCTGAGATGACTTCAAGGAAGAGTTTCTGAGGAAGTACTTTCCGCGTGAAGCCATGGATCAGATGGAGAGTGAATTTTAGGATCTTCGTCAGGGGAACTAAAACATCAGGGAGTATGAAGAAGAGTTCAACCGCTTGAAAAGGTTTGCAGGCAAGTTCATGGATGAGCATGAGGAGATTCGTAGGTTCATAAAGGGAATACGGATTGAGCTTAAGAACCGTTGCCAGTTGAGGACTTACAATGACATGGTCGAGTTAGTTGAAACCGCAGCAAGGCAGGAAAAAGGGTTAGAGGAGGAGCTTAAGCAGAATAAGAATGTCCAAGCAAGGGCAGATAAGGGAGCGGAAACCCATAAGAGGACATGGGACACCACAAATGCAGGACAATCATCAGCCACACCTAATGTGCGTGAAACGTGTAGGAGAAGGCACCATGGAACCTGCAACAAGAGGAATATTGTTTGTTACAAATGTAATCGGCTGGAGCATTATCAAAAAGACTGCACATAGAGGGCACAACCTTTCAGAAGCTGTCATCATTGTGGACAAACTGGTCATATTGCTAAGGACTGCATGACTGAACTGCCAGGTCAGCAGCTAGGAGACTATAGCCAAGGACAGCTACCACCACCACCAGCAAGGTTGGTGATAACACCGCACACTTTTATTGTTAGAGACAATGGCGCCAACCAAATTGCCGATATGTATTATTTTATTTTTACTTCTATCATGCTTAAGGACTGTGGTCAAAATTTATGTGTGAAGTTGAATAGCATGATTAGTCGTAAGTAAAATATTTGTAAGATCAGTTTTGGTTGGGGGTAGGATAGCCTTACGTTTTTTGATACCTGTGTGGCACACGGCTTTGTGAGCCCGGGAATAAATAAGTATTGAATTTTTGTGAGAATATTTTTTTTTCCATGGAAGAAATGGATTCACAAATCTGGCACAGAAAGAAAAAACAGTCTACCGGGATCTACCATTATACCACAAGAGATAGAGTTAACGGAATCTTAGAGAAATAGAGTTCGATCACTACGACATGAATTTAGGAATAGACTGATTAACCCATCTGCTTTGAAATGTCACCATACATGAGTCTCTACAGGAGAGAGAGGATATCTGTGAGGAACCATTGGAACGAGAAACTCAAACACTAGATAACTTTCCCGAGCTCTTAAAGTACAAGAGCAGTTTTACGGGAAACGGTTCAAATTCAGAGACGAATTCTTTTAACGTGGGAAGAATTGTAACAACCTGAGCCATAAATTTGGGAAAAGGCCCAAACACTTTCTTCAGCCCAGTTGGACAAATCCCAGACGTACCATCTTCTTCCTCTTTCGTTTAAAAGCTGCACCACCTTCTTCATTGGCGAGCCGCACACCCTTTGTCGACACCGAACCTCTGCCGGAATTCCATAAGTCCTGCTGCTGCTGTTACTGTTCAAGGCAGAGCCTTGGGACGTGAAACACCACCGCCTTTTGTTCACCCGAGAATCACGTGGAGCCATTCCGGTGAGAAGTGATTGTGCGTCATTCACGATCTGTCACCTCCGATCCGTCATCTTCTAGACTTCGCCATCTCATCTCGCCGACGCCACTGTCGCCCATGCATCATCATCATGTATCAAGCTTCGTCTCTCCACGTCGAGTTGTTGTTGCATGAGTGTGGTGTTGTTATCGCTTTGGTTCCAGTTAATCATAGTTATCGTGTTGTTCCTGCTGTGAGAACTCCTTCGTGTCTTCATTACTGTTTCACTTCAGCGGGCAGACTAAGGTGAGAACGTTTGTAAAATTCTATTATATACATTTGTAATTATGTATATATAGTTAGTCTTAAATTAAAATACATATACATACTTATATCTATAAGTATATGCATATTTGGGTGTTATATAAGTATATAATATATATATAAGTGTTTATATTTGTTTGGCAAGAACGTAGATGTGATTAAACTTGTTTAAAAATGAATATGGTTCATTGATGTGATGAATAGTGTGTGATAATGTATGTAAAAAAAATAGCATCGCTTGCAAGATGATAGGTTATGTTGCCCTGGGGCATGTGGCGGGTGTATCTGCGTGTTGAAATCACAAGTGCAAAGGATTTTATCCTCACTGTGTAATACTTTTGTGTGTTGAGCTGTGACGACGGGCCTTGCGTGGACGGTCATAGTTCAGGGTTGGCAGACGAGCCGGGTGCTGCATGGGTAGATGGGATGATTCCCAGAGCCAAATGAGTTGCAGGAACAACATAGATTATTAGGACTCTATCTTTGTTGTAATGGTGCGTCAGTAGGACGTGATGATTGTATGTATGTTTTAACTTGGAACTTGTGTATGTCCGTAGTTATAAATGTATATGACGGATTGATTATGCTCTAAGGCTCGCACTCACTAAGTATTGCTAGAGTACTCACCCCTCTCTCTTGCAGGTGAGCGTGTGGGGTAGTCGGAGGAGTCATATCGGTGTGGTGTTCGTTTT